ATCCTGTTGCTTAACGAAGAGTGTGCTTGTATAACATGAAGACTCTTGGAATGGTTTTAAAAATATTATTTTATGTATGCAATATGCATGTTTACAAATTAACCACTGTAACACACAGTGTTTTTGTTTAATTCTGATTTTAGGTATTCAGAAGCATGCAGCTCTATAATCCTTCCTCCGATTATGCATAATTCCCAACTGAACTATTTAGGCTTATTTCTTCCGAAATGTGTTGCATTGAAATTCTAGCAAAATCTCTGAAGTGCACAATGCAAAAGAGGCTTGAATTAAGTTATTACTTTGTCCACATCGTGAGTAGTTTGTGTGATGGCCGTACCCTTGACTGCTCTGCATCAAACAGTCCAAACACAGAAAACTCAATGCTTGTTCCCAATTTACTGCAGCCTAAGGGATAATTTAGGCAGTGCAAATGGAGAGTTTTAAACCATTTAAAAAAATTATGTCACTTTAACTTTGCTCACTAGAGACAACACTAAAGTGGCTCTTAAACTGTCAAACATCCCATGATGCTCTGTTTTTCACATGATAAGTAACTGTACTTTGAACGTTACAAATGTTTATGTTTTCTGTGGAGCTGAAAATCTGGAACAAATAGTGTCTCCTAATGTCATTAATTAATTTTAATTTTAATGTGAAGAATGTTTATTAATGAGTTTCTTTCGGCTTCTGAATGGTATACTTTACAGCTTACTGAACACTGCATAGTATACAGTGGATACGGAAAGTATTCAGACCCCCTTAAATTTTTCACTCTTTGTTATATTGCAGCCATTTGCTAAAATCATTTAAGTTAATTTTTTTTTCCTCATTAATGTACACACAGCACCCCATATTGACAGAAAAACACAGAATTGTTGACATTTTTGCAGATTTATTAAAAAAGAAAAACTGAAATATCACATGGTCCTAAATATTCAGACCCTTTGCTTGCAAGTTACAGTGTAACTCACAATTTTAGTTTATATTCAGAATTTGGAATTGCGTGGAAAAAAGTCTGAATTACGAGATACAGTATAAACTCACACGCTTCCATGGGTCTAGGCATTTCATGAATACAGTTTTTTTTTATATTGTTTTGTAGATTTTTTCTTTTATTTTCCCTTTCATTTCACTGTTTTTTTTTTGCATTGTCTGTTTTAATACCTTAAGCTTTGGCTATATTGTAAATGCTAACAAAGCATTTGCCTCTGACTCCACTGCAGAAATAAGATGTAGCATGTGGTATGTTAGTATGCTATTCCGAACATAGCCTTTGTTGCAGGTTATTATTCTGGAAAGACCAGGGGTGTCAGGGTTTGGCTGCTTATCATCAAGGAGGCCTGTAATGCCCGGAGAAAACCATCCATATTCCCATTCAACTGCCACAGCCTATAAGATCATACCTATAAGAATGAAATATGTGCAATTAAAAATGTTGCTTGAAAAATAATTTATTTTGTAATAATACAGGGCTACTTTCGAATGGTCGTCAATGGAGAAACAGGATTTTTTTTTATTTGCAGAATGGTGCAGTTATAGAATCTACCAGCACAGGGCCTGATTGCTTATGCTAGCCAGCCCAAACTTGACCTTCTAGTAGTTGCCAATCCTGTCTCATACACCAATGAGAGAGATTTTCTAATTATTGCAATCAGCAACTGGCAGCTGCATTGATGTGGAGGCAAGGCTTTAAAAAGCCACTTGGAGATTCAGATTAGGGAGTGGGAATACCACATGAAGGCTGGTGGATTGAGTAGCTGGTGTTCTGATTGTTGCATTTCCCTCGTCCTTGATTTTTCTTTATCATATTTTATAATTGCTATTCTTCCTCTTTGCTCGCATACTGCTGCTGCATATGATGTGTTTGTTTTGAACTTTATGTAGCTCTGTAGTAGTGGGTGTTGTGCCACTGTGACAGCTTAAAGACAAAGCTTGACTTATTTTAATGAGCATTTATTTTCTCAGCACCACAGCACCTGTGCAGGTCATAATAAATGGCCATTTGACGGTAAAACATGTTGAACTTTAGTAACACAAAGACTTGGGACAGAAAAAACAAGCTTATTTTCAGGAAAGATTTATATTTTCCAATCTCAGACATTAGCCACATCACATCAGACCAATATACCTTCATAATGGACACGCTGCTTTTATCGAATTCTTATTTAATGTGTCAGACAGGTCCATTTATTACTTCCTGTAGTCATTTTTTTTAGAGGATTTGCAGTGGCTCTTTGTCCTATTTTACATGGACACCAATTTTGAGTTTTGATTTTGAGAGATGTGCTAAGATGAGCTTTTATCGCTTCTCTGAGGTTATTAAATCTAGCAAACACTGTAGTCAGAATATTCGACCATAACCCCCTGAAGCCAAAATCACATTTGGGCATTACACATTCTTCATCTATTGTTGTCTAAATTTAATAGATTGGAAAAGCTGTCACAATCTGTGGCTCCATTAGTGGCGTAATCAACATTTCAGAGCCATAAAACACAGTTTAAGGATGTGTGAATGACAGCTAACACACTATTCGTACTATTGTAGATGTTTAAAATGTCTATGTTTTTCCTGTCACCAGTGAAAATTGATTGGTTCTGTTTTTGTCCAACCAGGTGTGAAATTACTGTTGTATTTGGCAGTGGTGTATGTGGGTTAATTTACACTCTGTAGCTTTCAGACTCCCATAGGTCCTCTCTTACATGTGTTCAGCTGTGGAATAGGCTGACGGTGGTAGAGTTGCAACTTTAATAGCCTTATTGAAAGCGAGGGATGTTGTCTGCGGCGGGCCGAGGGTGCATAGTTGCGAAAGGAATGGAAAGCTTTTGGTGATGAATGTGTGTGAACAGCTCGGACATGCTGGCTCTGACATGAAAAAGCTAAAAATGCCATATCGAACCATTTCTTACAGTGTGAGAGTAATCTTTTCCTTAAAGCTAGCTAGTCATTTAACATCCCGCCACAGTGCACCTCTTCTGGGAAGTAATCTCTCTCGGCTGCTTTCCATACCCGAGACATTTTCAAGTGTTTTTTTGCGAAGCCTTCGGTATTGGCTTTGTGATGCGCCCGTTGAGTTCTGGATCCCTTTTCATCTGTAAATCATTTAGTCATCTGCAGGTTGCAGACTTTTTCAACACACCAGGCTAGCATGCAAGGGAAGTAATCAACACTAACAGGCATGTTGCCATGTGGCTGTCTGTGATAATTGTTTTATGAAATGTGACTCTCCCCTTCTTTCTGTCAGTCTCCTAAATGCCATCAGAAGAACGAGAATTGGAGGCTGCCTGGGTACCTGGAGCTTTACCAAACACTTTGACCACCCTCTGCAGTCATAAAGAAAGGGAGATAGGGATGCTAAGTCCCAGAATCTGTCTTTCTTAAGGGATAAATATTTAGATGGTTAGCATGGACCCTTGACTGTGCTGGTAGATCATCTGGAACCAACAAGTCTTTCTCCATTGACAGTCATTCAAAATTAACCATGTATATTATTATTATGTATTAATATTGCGACTAAATACTACAGCATTTTCTACATGTTTTTTTTTAAATAAATTATTTATTTTATTCTGCAAGGAGTCAAGGACACACTAAATTGATCAAAAGTGACAGTAAAGAAATTTACTTTACATAAGATTGTCAAATTAATGCGTTTTTTAAACTTTCTTTTCATCAAAAAGTCCTAAAGAAATATCACAGTGTCCACAAAAATATTAAGCAGCATAGCAGTTTTCAACATTGATAATAATAACACATTTTTCTTGAGCATCATCATACATTATATTTTAAAATAATGTTTCACAATATTATGGATTTTACTGTATTTTTTATCAAATAACTACAGTCTTGGTTACAGTGTATATGTTGTTGTGTATATGTAATACAGTAAAATATATCATATCATATCATACTGGTCTACAGGTTTGTCTTCAAATTATATTTGAATTAGTTTTCACAGTTTCGATATAGCTTTTATTATAGTTTAAGTATTTTAGGGCTGCCAAAGACTTGTATCATTTAAAGTTTAAGAGAATTAAATTTCTCAGCACATTTTAGTGTTATTGCGAGTGACATTTTCATGCTTAATGCAGACTAGTCGTGATAGTTTTATAATACACCATATATCAGAAATCACAAAAAAATTTATTTGTGGCCATGAATCTGAATGCTAACAGATAGCTTTCTCAGCGTATTAGACCCACTTGGTCTTTCCAGTCAAACACTCACACAAACACATGCAGGGCACGTCCTGCACAGTGCTGTTCTGCAATAAATCAAAATCTGCAGCAGGTTCAAAGCCACATCCACCCATAGCCTCAAATACTAGAGAGGATAAAGGATAAAGGAGGTCCTGTTTCAGATCAGTAGCGTGGTATTTGTTTTCTTCCTGAATGTTGCCTTTGTGGTGCTTCTATTATGAATGCTTGACTGCACAAAATATTCAGCATACTGTAAATGCCTCCAATATCAGTCTGTGTGGATTGCGTATTGAGATTTCCATTCGGTTGCGTGTTCCTACTGGCGGTATCCCCGGGGAGAGTAAGTCGATTGCAGGGGGTCCCCAGGGCATGAGCTCCAAGCCTCCGGCGCAAGAACAGATTAAGTCCAAGATGGAATTTCTGATTTGTTTACTCTGTCTTTTTTTTTTCTGTTCCGCAAGTGCAAAAGTCCTTACTGTTGTTCCTGTCCTCAGCATTGCTCCAGGCTATTTAATGCTGCAAAGTGCATTTCAGAACTTTTTATTGGGCATCATTTTTGTTTGTTTCATTTTTAGCAATGAAAGACATTGTTGGCAAGTGTTGCTGATAAACATAGAAGCATCTGCTCTTTTAATAAATAACTGAAAGCACTTTCACAGATGAACTAAAAGAAACTATCTTTTTCATAGATTAAAAAACATGTTAAGCTATTTATGTTTAACTAATATTTTAATCTGCAGAGTAAACCAACTAAAATTCCAGTAAACAACTCATAGTAGTATTTTCTCTGTTCCATACTCTAGCCAACTGAGCTGCCAACCTAGGTTGTGCTTTGAGGCATCATAAGCGCATTCCCGACACCAGGTAAGGAACTTTAATGACCTTATATTGGCCAAATTCAAAGGCAGCACCACATTCATACTTAATTGAGAAGGTAGTCCCATAATACGTTTATCTAAGATGGAGAATGATACTGTATGTTGTTCTATTAATATTTCATACAGTATGGTTAAGCATTAATTGAAAAAAGTGTTTTATCCAATAGGCCTATTTGTGTGTGTTAACTAGTTTTATGCTGAAATATTGTTTTGTTAGCTTAGCGATGAGCTAACGCCACAGCAGCCATACAGAAAATCATAATGTTAATGTTTATAGTAATAGCTTAATAAATTCATACCTTATAGTCACATTTAACAGATTAGAGCTGGGTGACAATGGTTTACATTTAGAGATGATACAAGCAATAGAGATATGCAATATAGTATATACCTATGCAAATATTCTGTATGTATGCAGATAAACTTGGACATACGTACTGTATATATCCAATATTATCTGCTGGTCAAGCTGTTCAGATTTGCTATATAGTATGTATACTGCTTTACTTGAATGTACTGTATGCAGGTAAATATGGATATATTTGTGTGTAGAGTGGTCCAAATCAGTCATTTATGAGGTTCTGTTTCAATTAGTATGTAGCAGACAACAAGGCAGTGCACCAGTTTTTAAAATGGAGCCACTGTTGATTTGTAAGCTTTAAAACCAGCCACACTAGTGCTTTACTTTGCATTATGGGAAGTCTTAAGGGCATCAGTTTGTGTGTGAGACAGACAGAGTGAGAGGATAGTATATGAATATGTAATAAAATATAAAAGTACCTGCCGGGTAAGATGTGCTTAACGCTGTAAAGTCCTTTAAAATGAATGGAACTGCCAAACGCAAGTTCTGACTGCATTTATTTGTGTGCCCTCAACTAGGAGAGACAATGCGTAAATGGTAATGTTCCTCCAGCACAGACGCCAGACCGAGAGGTAGACTTGCTTAATAGGGATACGTGCAGCCATGCCGTAATTGGTCCTTTTCAAGCTGACAGGCAATGGCTATCGTGAGGGCTTAGAGCAGCGACATGTAATCATCTGCAGGATAAAAACGTTCAGATTAAAGCACTCTGTAATTCTGTATCGGGCCAGTGTTACAATGTGATAAAGAGGGTTTTGGCAGCAAATGGTTTATTACATAAGTTGTGGTAAATGAGCACTCAACTCAAGCATTCGATTATTTTCACGGCTCAAATTGACAGCCAGCAGGTGACAACCAATATGAAAGTAATCCTCTGTGTCATGACGTTTCAGATTGTTAGATGGGCCAGCTTTAATGCTCAAGAGGGTTTGGCGACATTCTAGTCCTATGGTGCTGACAAAATTAAGGGATCGTTTGTTTGATACATTTAATCTCTGTATTGCATGTATTGAGCAATTTCTTGTAGAGCGGGACGAGAGGTAGGTGACCATGGAAACATGGAGGTTCTATGCCAGAATTACAATTCCGTGAGAGTGTGTGTCAAGTGCATGTGTAGTACTGCTAAAAAAAAGGCTGCCAGTATGTTTTTTTAAATGAAAATGGGCATGCATTTTAGTCATTATACAATGATATCCTAATTTTAGTGTTCGTGTACTCATAAAAGAACTAGGGAGGCAGTTTCTGTCTAAAAAAAATGAATGGAGCATGTTTTATTTCCTCAATATAGTTGGCGTCCTTGCACTGAATGCATGTGGTCAGCTGAATTGCAAATGAGTTTGAATAAAATCACAGAGGAGGTGAAGGTCTGAGGCTATATAACCAAAATGAGTCATAAAGGCAGAAGTATCCCGGCAGCTTAGATGTTGATATGGTCAGAACCCACAGGTTAATAGGATGGGACTGTGCACTAGATTAGGACCATTTACCTTTTAACTGCGGTTGTCTCTGCGCCTCTTCCTGAAATAAATCACATCAGTTGAAATTCATCATTGTAGGTGGAAACCATGACTAAGGGAGAGAAAAAGGGGAAAAAACAAGCAAGTGCAGACCCCTGCAAAATGCAATTTTATGAGCGCTCTGCCACATTCTATTGCTTTGTCACATTGCAACTAAAGTGATTCGGCTGAATCAGGATGCAATCACCACAGCAGGTAGACAGCGGAGGCCTCACCGGCCTGGCCTGCCACGGAAAACCCAAGTGAACCAATGGCCAAGCGTCATCACATATAGAATTGGCACAGAGACCTCGGGTTTCTCGCTACACATTCATCATCATGAAACCGCTCTGGTTCGGTGCTCCAGGGTCGCATCTGCCTTTTCTAGTACCCAGCGCATGCTGTGACATATTGACTGTGACATTGTAACCTTTTGTGCAGAAATTTCCAGATAAACTTTTTGAGGAGAGGAAGGTCTTGAGGGGTGGATGGGAAAAGGTAATCTGCTTAGACGACGGATGGAAAACAGGAAGCGTCAGCTTTAATTCTTCTTCATTCTGGGTGGAGGTGTTTGTGGTGCTGAAAACACTATTACACACGACATTCCCACTGAAGCAGAGTACACTTGCCAGTCCTGTTTGATGAATTCAATTCTCTTGTTCACACACATCTGTTATGAACAAGAGCAACAACTGTATTGTATAACCAAAGACTCTCTTAAATTTTCAGAACTTAAGAGTGAGTTTGATTAGCCTCTGCTGTGTGAATGGAGCCAAATGAGACAACAAGTTGTCTGTCAAGTAATACTGTGTGATTATTGAGTACTGCGTTTTTTTCATGTTATTTTATTTTATACATTTTTTTTAAATAATGCTATTAAAGCTGCTTTTGATTAATAAAGATTCACACTAGACATCTAGGTCAAGTCATGTCAAGTCATACAGTGCGATCTTAAAGAACATTTAACAGATTAACTCATCTCGATTGGACTGGTTAGTTGCCGGGTCTGCGTATCAAAATTAGCGGAATAGCAAAACTAGCACAAAGGTATCCCAATGACCATATCCCATCTATCAAAATTTAAAAAATGCCTCATATATTATACCTAAAATATATATTTTATGGTCACTGTTATGCAAATTTGAAACCACTATTTCGTGGTGATCATAGACACAGCTCAAAGGCTCCTGAATGCATGAACTAGCTTTTCTGCATCAGAAACAGGTAACATGTTTCGTAACTTGGCAATGTTTCTAAGATGGAAGAATGCTGTTTTTGTAACATGGGAAATATAATTTTCAAAAGACAAGTTGCGATCTAATATAACACCCAGATTTTTGACTGTAGAGGAAGTAACAGTACATCCGTCTAGGTGCAAATTGTAATCCAAGAGATTCTGTGTACTGTCTTTTGGTCCAATAAATAATATCTCTGTCTTATCTAAATTTAATAGGAGAAAATTATTGGTCATCCAATCTTTTACATTTAATAAATATAATTGATGCAATATGTCAAACCTTTTTACCCGTGGGGGGGGGGAAAATCAACCCATGGCAACAGTTTAGAAATAGCCCAATTCTGCGGGAAAAACATGGACTATGCAACCCTGGTGCCAAATATGATAAGTAGTAGTAAATATGGTGGTCAGTCCCAAAAGAAAACGTTGAACTTTTAACACTTTTCAGTCTCTTCCTCATTTGCCCACCATTAAATGCAGTATTTTGATTATAAATTAACTCCTTTTGATTCTATCTTTTACAAAGTTTCACCTACTGACGACCTCTGAGTAATAACAGCTGAAGGTTATAATTCCTTCATTGCATATTGCACTGTTGAAAAACAATTACAGATACTGTAACATTGAACTTATGACCAGGCTTCAGTTGTGGATTCATGCTGATAACTCATGAAATGACATCTCCAACTTGTTCTGTCACATGCATTTAATTTACTGGAAAATATTTAACTTTAGATTAAAAGTTCAGGTGAGTTTAGGCTCCAAAAAGACTGTTTCGCCAAGGCCCTTGCATGGGGGCAAATACAGCAAAAGAGGATTGTGCATGGGAGCAGTGGCGTATCATACATCTTAGAGGCCCCCATGCAAAGAACAAGATGAGGCCCTTTCCACCAGCAGTGATATCATGTATACAAAACTTATTGTGCACCTGCTGCAATTATACTACTGAGTCCGTCTCTCCCATTTACATAATGATTTATCAGTAATGAATGTGGTGAATTATCATTGCATTGATGCATTTCATGTACAAACCCAATTCCAAAAAAGTTGGGACACTGTACAAATTGTGAGTAAAAAAGGAATGGAATAATTTACAAATCTCATAAACTTATAATTTATTCACAATAGAATATAGATAACATATCAAATGTTGAAAGTGAGACGTTTTGAAATGTCATGCCAAATATTGGCTCATTTTGGATTTCATGAGAGCTACACATTCCAAAAAAGTTGGGACAGGTAGCAATAAGAGGCCGGAAAAGTTAAATGTACATATAAGGAACAGCTGGAGGACCAATTTGCAACTTATTAGGTCAATTGGCAACATGATTGGGTATAAAAAGAGCCTCTCAGAGTGGCAGTGTCTCTCAGAAGTCAAGATGGGCAGAGGATCACCAATTCCCCCAATGCTGCGGCGAAAAATAGTGGAGCAATATCAGAAAGGAGTTTCTCAGAGAAAAAATTGCAAAGAGTTTGAAGGTCTATGAGTGCTCTGGAGTAATCGTAAAGCCCTATGTGCATCGTAAGAAGACAGAGTTATGCGGTAACCTGCAGGACAATCGGCAGATTACACCTTTAACTTTATTCAAGTGCAATGTGATTATAATATAAGGATATGATTGTACTTTATTGTACACTTTATTACTCGTTTTTGTTGTTGTTGTTTTTTTAAATGAATTTATAAATGAAATAATTAAAAAGGGCAGAAAAAATAGAAATACACATATATACACAAATGACTGAACAAAAAAAAAAAGAATAAAATAATGTAGGAAATATGCTTCAAAGACTGGGGGGAAAAAATCTGCACGTGAAACAATAATGAACGATCATAAATGACTCGTAGAACACGCTCTTAAGCTCTAAGATCAGTCGTTATCGAGAAACGCAGC